ATCTGTGAAAAATAGGTTTACAGCTTATCGGATTCCTCCAGGATAAATCAAGATTCTGATACTGACCAAGAACAAATGACGATTACATGATATACAGTGAATTTTGCTCGTTTCTGCCAATATTCGTGGAGTTATTTGACACTGCTGGTTCAGTGCTTTTAAAGTAAATTGTTGAAGGGGCATTAGGCCGGAGATTGGCTCCAAACAATGCTTACTCTTAAGAATAACGCAAAGAGGCACATGGCATGGCCACGGAGGGGGCGGGGGAGGAGGGGGGGACACACGGTACACATTGTAGGACACGTCACACAAGGCGTGAGGCATGGGTACGGATTGCCGGATGCGGGACATGGAGCATGGCCCGTGGGAATCCCATTGTAGCGTGTGTCCTGAGCTTAGATGCCAAGGAATAAATTTGGACCTTGTCACTTCTTTCTCAGCCAGTCGGTGCACCCAAGGGCCCCCGTTGGAAGTTTATTTTGCGCCAATACGGAAAAGCAATGGAAAAACCTTGCATGGAAACCACCTTCATGATGTTAGGTACTGTGAGAATGATTGCAAATTATGCCATCATTACTTGAGAGATGGAAAAATTAATTGCTTAGGACACTTGCGCATTTGTATTTTTCATTTAACACGTTCCTTTGCGCACGTGTACGCTCAGAATAAAGGTACAGCGCTATTGTGGCCGAGCTGAAATTGAGGTGCGCGTCCTGTGCAGTGCGGCAGATAGAGCCTACAGAGCATGGCAGGAGTCGTCGCGATTGCTAAAATCAAGTTGGGGGGCAGGGGGGGGGGCTATAAATGTGGTGATCTCTTGTTGCCTCTTCTCTGCGTCATCTAGCATTTCTCTCCCGTGAAATATTGTTTGTGATCTCCTCCGTGCTAATTCCAGCGCGGTAGGAGCTTCCATCAGCTCTGGTTATTGCGCCGCCGCGGCTTTGGAGTCTGGACAGTGGTGGGTTTTGGAGGCAGCGCCGCCTGCCAAAACAATGATCGAGTTTTGCCAAACAGTCAGCCTCACGCGGCCCTCGTCGTCTCGCATTTGCCCGGCCGGGACGCAAAGGGCGCTTGACCTGCGCGGCGTCAGCGACGGCTCGGCGGCGGTGCGCGCGGGCGACAGCGTGACGTGATCCCGGCCCGCCACGCCGTGACAGCCGGGGGCCGGTGCGCTCCAGCGACGCGCCATGGCAGCAGCATCTGAGGTGCGGGCTCCTGGAGCCGGCCACGTTACCAACAGCTGTGCTGCCGCCGCAGCTACCGCCCCGCCCTCCCGCCCGCCCCCCTCTCGTTGCCCTTCCCACGCATCGGCTTCCAGCGCTCACTGCCGACAAAAATTCCCTCCTTACTCGTGACCTGCGCGCGAAGTTCATTCGTCCTCTTCAATTCGAGCCACGGCGAAATTGGCTTAAGAGTGCGGGTCAAGAAGTGTCTGTGTTGAGTGGCAATGTAGCGGTTAGCGCTCTGCACTATGAACCCGGCGAACCCAAGTTCAATTCCCGCTCACGGCTAAACACCAGTGATAATTATTTGAACTGGTCGTGGGCCTCTACGTCGACTCAGCCTCAAATGAGTACCTGGTGCGATGTGTAAATGTCGCCACTCGGGAGACAAAGGTGGCCGGGCGTGGTGCTGGCCACCCTCGGGTGCCGAGCCAGTCTTCATAGGTGCTCGCTAACAGCATTTGCCTCAAAAGTCTGTTGAGGCTATATAGGGGATCTTTGCCTTTGTGTGTTGAATGGCGCTTGGGTCTGTCTCGTTCACGTGGCCTTAAAGTGCACATAGCCTGGCACGAACCCCGTGGTGACGTCACCGCTACTTCCTGGCAAATGACGGTTGGTTATTGTGTGTTTACAAACATGTTTAGGGAGTGAGGTCTGCAGTCTCATGCAGTGGATCACGAAACACAGTGTCAGAAACGGTAGTCTCTCGCTTGGCTTGAATAAAAAGTATCCTGGTTGCCTCGTTAATAATGATGAATGTGCTCTGAAGAGGATTACGCTATACACATTTATGTAATGTGCAATCATTTTTGTTTCCGTATTAAAGCGGGAGAGGACGTTGGCAAAGGCACCGCATATCACAAAAAATGTGTATCCTGGCTCAGCCCAGCATGAACCGTCGTTGTCAAACTTGTGTAATATCACAGCGGGCTTTTCATAATTGAAATTATATCTTTAAATTGAATGAGCGAGCGCTCCCTTGGCCTGTGCGTGTGGATGTTGGTGCCACAGATATTCCCCTGACGTTATAATGCACGTGGCTGGCACAGGGTCATGGCGCCATCACTCCCTACGCATGGACCGATGTGGGGTTTTTTTTCTTTTTTGTGTGCAAATAAAAACACCGGTATGTTGTACATTTTGTACACAAACGCTGTCTCGGAGCTTGCGCTCATTTTTGACTGCACAACAGGGATGGTGCTGGCGTAGTCTCGATCGTTTGATTACAGCCACAGTTCGGTGCAAATTATTCCGCCGCGATCAATGCGGCACAGCGTTCTGCGGATGTGTGCTGTGCAGACAAATACACGGGAAGTTTGTTTGCTGAAAGGAAGAGGAAATCAACATTTTGGCCAACATTCAAGACACCCACCCCACCCACCCCCCTCCCTCCCTTTGATACGCGCGCAGCGTGCTAGACTTGGAGGGTTAACGAACTCATCTGTCGCTCAGCTCTTAAAGTGTTTGCCCAGATGTGACGACGAACGGTAGCGAACTGAACGTCTAATGCGATCCTAATTTAGGCGAGAAAAATCATCTTTGGATTCGCCGAGCCATCAATTAACGCTTGTAATGTATCTAGCGTTTATTTTTAGACGGAAGCTCTAGTGCAGTCGTGCTTTGCCTTGCTCAGCACGACGTTAACAAATGCTGTTTGTCAATTGCACGCGCGGCGCGGTGTTTACTTATCGGGACAGTTCAGACACATATTGATTAGGACACTTACACACATTCGTACGCCAAGTCATGGAGAGTTACACATGCAGCGTGTACATCTCTCCCGTCACTTCCATGAGCAGGCCCGCCAGCGTGGGAAGTCATTTGTCCGGCTGAGATTGGCTGCGGGATGACCGTATGCAAAGTGGAAATAGACGACAAAAAACGCCGCCTTCAGGCACGTAGCTCGATTTGTATTCCTTGCCTGGAGGCGATGACTCTATTAGACACATTTAAATCTCTGTGTGCCATCTTTATGCTTGTCATTAAATTCATTCTGTGCAAATGTTTGCAAGGAGCACCTCGGTGCGATTCCTATCGAAGTCATTAGAGACCGTAAACTGATGATAACGTACCACAAAGCGGAGGGGCCCGGTGTTATTTTGCGATTTCTAAGCAGCTGCGGTTATGTGCAGCATCGTCACGGCATTGTTACCTGACTTAGAACGTGAGCCTCAAACACGTCGCCTGACAGCTTCCCCACTCGACCTCTCAGCCGCCTCGCCCCGTTTCGCTCCGTCCTAGCGCGGACGCTGCAAGTAGACCTGACGTGGACGCACGCTCGCACGTGCCTCCGGCGATACTCGTGCTCGCTGCCCACATCCCCCGGGGGCAGGACAGAAAGCACTTGAGATGAGAGAAAAAAATCATAAGCATCGCCCTTTATCAATCCGCTGTGAACGCATTCGTGCAATCGCTAAAAAAAAGTTGATGCAGCTCGTCGGCCCGTTATGAATTTTCACTCTTGTGGCAACTCCTGAGAAAATAAATGCGCCCATATTTTGTTTGCGCGTTCTTTAACTCGAAGATGTTCACCGTGGCGTAAGTGCTGAGGCTCACATTTATTTCCATTACGTTGTGAGCAGCTTTTCCAGAGGCGATGCGCATCACCGCTGAATAATTTGTTACACCGTCTGATTACGTTGCAGGAGACAGGGAGGGGAACTGCAAGAGCTCTGTTTAATTAGTCGTAACTCGCAGAGTTGTGAGTCGAGTGCCTGGGTCGTGGAGAATGCTGGGCTCGCTCTGGGAGGAGGTTAAGCAGACTTCTGGTGCGGAACGCTCCTCAATTTTACACTCGGCATTGCCGTTAACGTGTCAAATGTGAGGTGTCATTTTTGGTTAGCTGTTTACCGTGACGCTGCGGGTCTCATGAGAAACTGGATTAATTAAATTAGGGACCTCTTGATGAAAGTAAATTAAAAGGATAGATTGGGCAAAGGACAGCGCTCTCATGTGGGATCGCTGGCCGCTGCGTGTAAATCAGGGATGCGCCAGCTCAGGGCTGACCTTCCCAGCGTGGACAGGTTATTTATCGATGGCCTGAACGTTACCTCCAAGCAAGACGTTATTGACAACAGAGCCACCTAAATTGGCCTAACTGGCAATCATATGGAAGATCAATGCAATAGAACATAACACATATTCAATTAAATGCATTTGAATTCGTGTAGAAACACATCAACAATGTAGATACGTGCTAAATCCGTTTGACTCTGTTTTTATGATCAAGGTTTTTGCGATTGGAAATTTCCACACTCGTATTGAACATTTATCACGGTTAAAATGTCAGTGCGGAGCGAAGTGTCATGATGACTGCTCTAGCAATGTAACCTTCCGTGGAGACGGCAGCTGAGAGTGAGCCAGCCTGCCGCTAGCATGTGTAATTTACATCTCATATTTAAAAACTAAAATAAGGACTTGCCCTTTTATTAAATTCTGTTTCTCTCAAAATATGTGGAACTACATTTAAATTATTTAGATATCTAAATGTTATAACTCCAATTTTAATCTTCGAAGAATTAATAAATTATGTGGTTAGTTATTAAACAAACCTTTAAGACATCATTAAATACATCTATATATTTTTGCAAACACCTACATTTTAAAAACACTTGTGACTGTTGAATTTACATTAATGATGGGGGGGGGGGGGAGGTTGGGGGGTGCGGGGCGATGGGGAACGATGATAATGCTGGAAATAATAATGGTTGTAAAGGGGTCACGCTTCCTGTCGCTGCTGCTGCTGCTGCTGCGTCTGCCTCGCACGCTGCCTTCCAGGCGTGCGTCTCGACCGGGTGCGAGGGGGGCGGCAGAAGTACAAGCGACGGATCGACGCCGAGAACAGCCCCTACCTCAACCCCCAGCTGGCGCAGCCAGTCAAGAAGCCCTGCAACGGGAGCCTCGGTGGGGCCCGCTCCACCTCAGTCGTGCGCGGCCCACTCGTGCCCGGCCGATGCCACCGCACGACACGCACTCGCATTTCCTTTCACCTTTGTGCCAACCTGCTGTTCGGCGGTGTTTTATGCACCCGCCTGGGTTCTGACGTCCCGTGTCAGAGGGACACGGAGGTGTCTAGGCTTTGGAAAGGGAGCAGCCCAAAGAGCGATAAGGGAAGGATTTTGTTCGAAATGTGTGTTCCAATGCGGTGGAGCAGTGGCGTGTGTGCCGGAGACAGTTTTGTCATGCCTGCTGTTATGAGACGCTGCAGAGCTGGTAGAATTGAGCCGTTTGTCAATGGGTAAGACTGTAATTAAATGCTTCCCCACTCGGCCGGGGCGAGATCTCCCCTGGGTGATGCGACTGAGGATTAGTGTATCACTTGTCTCCACGCTGCGCTGGAAATCCACCAGTGCAGCAGCAGCAGCAGAAAAAAAAATATCACCTGGCAGCCTCGGTGCTGCGTCTAGACTTCGAGGCTCCACGGCTAAACGGTGATGGCGCAGAGCGTCTCGCCGCTCTCTCCTCCCTCTCTTCTCCTCTCTCTCTCTCTCGCGGCTTTCGCAGCTTTCCGACTCAAGCCGTGCGCCCTGCACGGGGAAAACAACCCCAGAGCTGCCCGTGATTAACTCCCCCCGTTTGGCTGCAGCCCTTTCAATTTTCACTCTTTATCTGAAGCACTGCAGATAATGCACCGGAGGGCTTTTTAATTGGCCGTGGTATCACGGGCACCCGCGTAATCTATGGCCGGTTTCCATTTACTGGGTGTCAGAGGTTCATTCAGGCAAGAAATTTTATTGTCGTAAAGTCCCAGTCCTGTTGTTCTTCTGGCTGCCTGGAACATTTACAGCTCCCGAAGCCATTAATGTTAATAGTTGTATTGATTCCACTTATGCCAACATTAACCAAGCATCTTCTACTGTCCCTTATTCTCCTTGACATGGAGGAATTGAAATGAATAAAGGGTTTGGCGTTGCGTCGACAAGAAAAATATGTTTCGCACGCATTGATTAAGCAATTTGAACAGTGAATGTGCAGTTCAAGTCAATTAATGTGTAGAATTATTGGTTCTTAAATAATAAATTGTCAGTGTTAATGAGCATTTAAGATCGTGAATGTAAATCAATAGCGTGGATTGCCTCAAACATGTAAATGAAAATAATGACATTTACTATATTATTCTATTTATATTCAATTATAAAACAGTTTTTCTCTTTAATTACTTATTATTGCTAAGTATTAGGCATGAGGACTCAATGTTGTGATTGCACGTTAGACACAAATTAAAAACGTAATCTTGAAACACGTACTCACACCCAATTGCGGATTACATATTTTTGTTTCGTATCAAATTTCTCGACGATCGCAGGTAAAATGTTCGACTTATTCTTAAACGTGCCATCGGGAAAGAGTCTTCCGGTGCAGCTGGGGAGTGCGTGGCTTCAATTTGGATCCCAAGTTCAGGACACGTGTGGTCCTGGTCCCTCGGCATCGCACTGAGCGCGCCACCTTTGCATTGCTCCCGCCAGTGAACAAGATCATCTCGCACCTGCTGGTGGCTGAACCCGAGAAGATCTACGCTATGCCCGACCCCACCGTGCCCGAGGGAGACATCAAGGCCCTCACCACGCTGTGCGACCTGGCCGACCGCGAGCTCGTGGTCATCATCGGCTGGGCCAAGCACATTCCAGGTGAGGCGGTCCCGCACACGCAAAGACAAACGTCCCTCCCGTGTAGCCTATAATGGACTTGGGGAAAGTGCTGTTAAGCGAGCACCCATGAAAGCCGGCAGGGCCACACGAGGGGATGGGTGGCCAACATCACGCCCGGCCGCCTTTGTCCCCCCAGTGGCGATGTTTACACATTACACCTAAGTACTCATTTGAGGCTGAGTTGACATAGGGGAGGCCCAGTACCAGTTCAGATCATCGTCACAGATGTCGGTTGTGAGCAGGAATTGAACACGGATAACCACTGCACCACCACTCGTCACCTATATACACTGACACATGCAACAACAACAACTAAAAGCTGAAGTTCATCACTAATTGGCAGGGAAGTCATCACAACCTTGTACCAGACTAGCTAGACTTTGAGGCTCAGTGAAGTGGTGACACCTCGCTGACAGGAGGTTATAGGACAGGCTCAGATGTTATGGGTTAACTGGCTGGAGTGAATGGCAGATGCACATTCACACAAAGACAAATGCAAAGATCCCCCATATGGTCTCTAACCAATCGCTGGGACAATTGCTGAGTTTTCAAGCGCACCTATTAAGGCTGGCATGGCGAAGGAGAGAATGGGTCGACAGTACCATGCCCAGCCACCTTTGTCTCTATCGTGCTGATGTTTACCCACAGTGCCAAGGTATTTATATCAAGCTGAATTGGCCATGGCCTGGAACTGAATTCAAGTAGTGGGTTAAAAACTCATTGCAAGACCACTGCACCATCAATTCGCTTTGCATACACCCACACGTATAAGCACACAAAGATCCCCCAGATAGCCGTAAATGGGCTATTGGGGCAAGTGCTGTTAATGAGTACTTATTAAGGCTGGCAAGATACGAAAGCAGAGGCACACACGCATATAATGCACACACACAGGCCCCATGAGAGTTTGTATATCTTAGGCAAGTTTGGTAGACTTGCAAACACACGCACAATAATAATAACAAACAGAACCACTGTTCACCACTACGTGAAAATGATGTCACGCTGACGTTTGTATCAAGTTAAATGCTCGCACACGCACGTATACATGCAAACATACATGCAGACACACAATCTAGCCCCATTATGGTTTCCATTTGTGCACGTGCTCTCTCACACGTGCATAGGTGAATCACAGAAGCTCACACGAGCCCACGCGCGAATTGAGCCTTTAAAATAGCGTTGTGAAATTAAACATTGCAAACGTACATCACACAAAAACACTACGGTAGCTAAATTAGAAATGAAGTAAAGATTTGAAAAAATATATATAGATACCTCTTAGCACAGGTGGGATTTTCATGAAGTTGAATTTGTTTGGAATTTTAAAGTCCTGCACTCGTGTTTATGCGGTTTGTGCAAAGTGTTCGTCGTGCAGTCGGTATCGCAGAGTGCATGCGGTGGCTGGCCATGCGCGAGTGTGTCTAAAATTTGCTTAATGTGACCTGGCTCTCCCCACCTCTTGTGAACCTCGGGAGTTCAGTCATGAGGATTTTTCTTGCATCGGCAAGGCACTGCGGCTCTTCGTGATGACTTTACAGCCCATTCATTGGTCCCCTCGGATGCCGCTTTAATGGATAAATAAGTATGAATGCCCCATCTAACCGCAATTAACATTTAACTGTGCCGGTGTGGAAAAGAGAGCGAGGGAGCATTGAAATAAAATCAATAGGGGTCTCTTGATATATATGAAATGCAATAAGAAAATTGATTTGCTTAATGTTATGTAGTGTTGTGGGTATCTTCCGTGGTTTTCCATCACGAAAGGTCAGGTGTTGTAAATGGACAAGAAAAAAAGAATTCTGCGAGTACTCTGTATAAAATTGAGTTACCATACTAATATCTTCTTTGCATTAGGAAGGTGCTCTGTGGCCAGTCGGGCGTTTTAACTGATTATGGCACAATGAAATTAAGTGGCTTCGATAACATAAATCTATTTGAGAGATGGGTTTTTAGAGAGAGATTAAGGGGAGCAGCGAAGCAGGCAGACATGTGCTTTGCTCCTATCTCTGCGGAGCCTGATTGTTGGCCTCCAAGCCGTGCAGCGGCTCCCTCACTCAGCGTGGACGAGCTGCCTCTCCCGTAATAGAGGAGACGCATCGTTCTTTAACATTAGTCATATTAAAGGCAGAGCATGGGAACATTAACCGTAGTATATTTAATGTGGCCCTAATTCGTCATTTCCTGCAGGCTGGGGCTGCCGAGCACTGTTGCGCTGCTCGAGCAGATCCGCGGCCATGAGAACCGCGTGGCATCGGGGCACTCTTAATGGCCGGCAAAACTCGCGCGGCAATTAAAGTTACGACGACAGAGAAAATGACATGGGGGGGGGGGGGGGTGGTCATCAACCGCGTTGCTCCTGCCCAGAGGCCGCCATTGAATCGGTGGAGCTGCTTCTGTGTTGGTGTTTTTCTACTGAACTATCCGGTACTGTTCACCAATGAACTGCTCAATCGAAACAAACCCGAGTCCAGCCTAGGAGCGAGCTTTAATTGGGCCTCACAGATCCGCCAGTATTGATACGGCATGGCGGTTGTGTGGAGTGCAAACTGCCTCATGCGTTGCAGTAATCGCATTACCGACTCCGTCGCCATGAATAACCACATTTCCAGCTATCACGTTGCCAATAGCTGCATTGACGGCCAGAACGTGGGTGATGTGGTGGATGGCCCCATGGACTGGGAGCCAGCGGAGGGTCCGGTAATCATGTGACGCTGCTATTTAGTGAGGATCCTGGCAGCCACTTCCTGGAACACATGAAGTGTTGGTATGAGGGCTTGACAAATAAATGAAGGTGTGGGCCGGCACTCGTGAAGGCAGGAAGCTGAGCATGTGTGAGTTCGGGCTTCTGCAGCAGCAGGGTTGAGCTGATCTTTCGCGCTTTTCTGGTTTCTGCAATGCTGATGGCCCACACTGCTAATGATGGCATTGCTGACCTCGGAGCTGACACGCGGAATAAGAATCCCAGGCAACTTGTCTCAGCCCGTGTCTCATTCCCCTGTACCGATTCCATATTAACTGTGCGCGTCGGTGTTATCGGTGTAAGATTCCATCGTACGTGCGCAGACGTGGAGGAGCGGGGGGGGGGGGCGCACTTGTGCTCTACTACGTCGCGATATCGAGGCACATCTGGAGGTGCCGCCAGTAAAATATAAAACGTGAATTTTGTGCTCAGGATTGACGTTTGTTTAGTGATGGAGTGAACGACAGTCCTTCCAAGCGATGATTAATCAATACTTCCTGGCTGTCAGTGCGGGGCCACTCCTCTGGCCTCCACAGAGACCTGCATGGGGCCAGGGACCACTGGGCCACAGGGGTCACACAGCCCCTGAGAGCCCTCCCAGAGGCATCCATGAGTTCCACCTATGCACTGTCAAGGGGCTTCGTGGCACGTGGCGGTGCTGAGGGAGAAGAGGAGGTGGGATTGGCTGGGTGGCTGTGAAGCACACACGGCGTTCGGGGGCTAGAAGTGGGACGAGGGGGAGCTGGTGTGCGAGTGAGGCTGCATACCGATGGGAGCATTTCAGCTGGAGGGTGATGTTGCCAATAATGCAGACCCTCGTGGCTTTCCCTTTGGCTTAGCGCGCGCGTTGATTGTGGCTTTCTAAAGATTTGCTGAGTGTCACTGATATAAAACGTAGAGATTAGTGCCACGAGCTGAAATTAATGTTCACAATATTTCATCTCTCTAGTCCACATTTGTGAAAGGTTTTTCCTACTTTTATATTATTGTTTTCCATTCCAGCACATTTCTTGTTAGATAACTGTTAAACTGCATTCATATTTCCCCTTTCCACGATGTGTTCCACAATTCTGACATATTCAGAATTATTTGTCATTTTTGTATTTCAATTTTCGTTTTAAACCTATCGCTATTTTGATTGTGTTAATCAGTTTCCTTCTCGTTGTTTCTCGTGCGTTTCACATCCGGGTTTCTCGTTTTCCCTGCAGGCCATACATTTCCCTCCATCCTTCGTTTTGTTATTTTTCATTTCCAGACTTTGTCTAATTGGTTTTCTTTTCTAATTGATGGCCATTAGATGTGTTTGTTCTCTCCGCCCCGTCCTCCAAGTCATCAATAAACGTGAAGTGGAAAGGCCCTCTCAGCCGCCTGATTATGTTCCAATCACTTCCCCTGTCAGCACTCAGCATGACTTAGGGTAATGCCCAGCCAGGCTCTCTACAGGAACAGGAAATATGTTTGCTCTTCTCCCTGTTTAATAACCCTGAAAAGGTAATGAGCCCGTGAACGAGGCTGATACATATTTGCTTCTCTCAACTGTGCTGCGGGTTGCATCAGATGCTGCCGCTGCCGCTGCTCTTTACTGTTTGCTGAGAGAACAAAATCCCCCCACCCACCCACCCCACCCCCCTCCTCAACTCGCACGAGCGCTCATTTTCTCAGCTCTCGGACCTAAAATTAGACGAAGCAGCTTAAGATGCTGAGGAGGTCCTTACGTGGCTCTATAAGGGATTAGTTTTTTTACACGGCGTGGCACAAGTCATTAGAATAAAAGCGGGCTCCGTATAGCGCTGTCGGCCCGCGGAGTGAGCCCTCCGTGACAAGAGCGATTGCCGCTCGCAAAACACGGCGTTATTGCGCATTTTCCTCGTGGTTAGTTCGATCGCATTTGCAAATCAAATCAATTCATCAGTTTCTATCATCGTCATTAATAACACTCGCGGTTTACAATCTTCTTGTAATAAGATGCAAATGTGTGTTGAAAGCGAGTTACCTATAAATCACCATCCTGTCGGTGGCAATCATTAAATATCAGAATGCACAGTCAATTTTTAGTATTTTCAATTTACCGTATGCCTTCTGGAATATAAAGATAGATGGATGTAATTACACAAACCAAACACTATTTCAATTCACCTTGGACAGCAAATTTAGTGTAAGGAATAACATTCCTGTCATCACGGCCCATTATTTCATGTGGTTCAGGCAAAGTTCACAAGCAGGCACAGAGAGAGAG